TAAGCAATAAGGAAACAGGGAGGGGGAGGTGACCACAGGCACAGATGAAGAGTTAAGTGGGGTTTAAAGATATAGAAGAGGTGAGGTAGAGGGATAGAGGCAGGATATTATTAAACTTATTGTCATTTTTTTCTTAAGAATCAATAAAACTATGAAAATTACTTCTCTGTACATATTGCAGACATTTGTTACTTAGAGGACACGTTTTATCATTGGAATCACAGGTTCTACCTGTTTGCTTTGCTGAGGTGGTAGATAAGCTTCCAGAAGAGAAGGGAGGATGCTTTTTCTATGAGCATAACCATTTGTTCCCATTGCAAATAAGGATGGCTGAAATGAAAAAAAATGAACCAAATATTAAAAACCAGGCATGAGTTAATGCAGAACTATCAGTAGATAAGTGGATTAACTAGATAGTCTTTCTCCAGCGAATCTGATTCAATTTACTTGATTTTTTTTGTGGGGCCATATAGGAATCTATAATAAATATTACATTTGATATAGCGCCTTATAACATCACTGAGACGTCTCAAAGCACTTCACAGGATATGCTACAAAGTGACTGTATTTTGACTGGATTGACTGTATTTTGTGGACAAATTGCAGCAGACAGTTTGTGCACAGCATTGTCCCACAAACTTTTTGTAAATGGAAACAAGAGCAGACCATTCGGCACATCAAGCCTGTTCCACCAGTTTGCTAGATCTTGGCAGATCATTCAGTTCGAATGCCCCACTTGTTTACCATTCCCTTTTATATCTCTAACATCCAAATATCTATCTTCCTTTAAAGATCATTTGCTGTGCACAAATTAGCTACCACATCTGCCAAAGCCACGCAGTCACTAAACTTAGCAGCAATTACCTGTGAAGCTCTCGGCAAATTTAAATGTTATGGATGTTACACCATATCAAATCCAAGGATTGTCTTACTGTATTAGTATTATCACCACCCAGTGAGGCAATCAAAACTGGTCATGTGCAAATTGACCCATTTACATGGATGTTTTACAAAAAGTGTTGCCTAAGGCTATCATTTTTTAAAAAAGGATGACCTAACTGTTTGAGATAGGTACCTCCACCATTCATCAGACAAATGAACTGCTGGACATAGGCCACCCTTATAAACAAAAAACAAAATGTTTATAAGATACAACAAGCACAAGTGTAGTCACTATGTATTTTGGAGATGAATGCGCAAAGCAATGTCCCAGAAACAGTCATGAAGTGAAACATCAGCAATGGAGTCCTGTAGCTCAGTGGTTAGAGCAGTCGCTTTGCAAGTGAGAGACCTGAGTTCAATTCCAGACAGGGCGAAACCTTGGGCAAGTTTCCTTACTCCATACGCCTAATAATAATCCCTCCAAAACCCAAAACAATAATAAATTGGTCATTTTCAATCTACGACTGTTTGTGGGACATTGCTGTGCGCAATTGGCTGCCGCGTTCGCCCACAAATATACTGTATACAGTGAATATACTGTATTCACTCTACAGTATATTCTGTGAAGCGCTTTGGGACGTCCTCCCGACGTGAAAAGCGCTATATCAAATGCAAGGATTATTATTATTATTAATATGATGTGCATCCAGATTGCATCCAATTAACAATTAATTATAAATGTATATTGAACATACAAACTGCGCTAATCAACAATGTCAATTTTAATCAAAAATGTATTTCAAAGTATTTTAGTGGTATTTTTTGGTTAAAAAAAAGGTTAAAATGTAATGGTAACATTTCCTGAAAAAAGGAAAAAAGAGTGGGGGGGGGGGGGAGGTGCACTGAGGAAAGGAAACCAATCTGCTCTTGGAGTCGACCCTGTCCTGTCACAGGATTTCTCACATCCCTGTGCTCGGGCAAGGGAGGAAAAAGGGGGGCAATTGGATGGAGAAGACTCTCCAGCAGATGGATGCAAAAGCATAAAGCAGAGGAATGTATGAAATTTGCTGTGGATTTAATTTAATTTAATTCAATTCAAGGAGGTGGAGATCTTGTACTCACCAGCAGCGCTGAGCTCTCAGCGAGTGGTTGCTGTGGGTGACTGGAGACGCCGATGTTTGGCACTGGTGTTTGGCACTGTTTCATTTCGATGTTCATTTCACATCCCCCCCTTCACCATTGCACACTGCGAGTCTGTGCGCCTCCTCTGAGATCTGGTCAGATGGGGAAGCAGCAGCAGCCTTGTTTCACACATTTTTTGCAAGAAACACTCACCAAATCGTCCTGTGGCAGACTCCGGAATCCTTTTTCTTTCCTGAAAAAGTTGCACTCAGCTAAACGATAACCAGTTTTGCTCAAATCAAATCTCACAGGGATTGATTTTCACTTTCATTTCTGGACCATATCCCATTCCCAACCCATCCGGTAGAAGAAAGATATCATTAAAGAGTGCAGTGATATAAATGATCATCATAAAATGATGATCTTATGCACTTGATATATGGCCTTTCACCTGGGGGGGACATCTCTAAGATCTTCATAGGAATTGCTGTGAAGTGTAGTAACTGTACTTGCAGGCGAGTGCAGCAGCTAATTTGTACACAGCAACATTCACAGCAATGCAGTGAACCAACAATTTTATTTGGGAGATTAAGGACCAGAACGCCAGGAGAAACTCCCTTGCCCTTTGGGACTGTGCTGGGATAGGAGTGGGGAACTCTAGGACAAAGTTGCAGAGGCATGAATTTAATAGTTGCTTTGCATCTTCTCTCAGCGATATTGAAACGTGTAAATCTGATTTCAGCAGTACTTCATCCCAATAAACAAAGCCTTTTTATCTCCCAATCTCTATTATATGCATTAATGTATGCATTATGCATTATTTGCCCGCCCACTGTGGGCAAGTGGAATACTTTATGTGCTACAGGTTACTCTACTTATGTGCACTTGAGGGATTTAACTTTACGTGGAACATTTTAGAAACGGAAGAATCGGAAAAAATATTCCAATAACTCACAAGTGATTTTGGCTGCAAACAGTTCCTGCGGGAACTCAAGCTTTACTTGATTCTTACGTTTCATTATCCGATAAGGAGATGTTATTGAATTACTAAAGCATCAGGAGACAGGACAACATGACCAAAGGTGTTTGAGCTACTCCGAAGTGAGCTCCATCAGAAGGAAAATGAGTGAACAAAATAAAAGCTACTCTAAAAAGGAATTTGACCCTGTCTCCTGGTGCTTTTAATTCAATACCGTATCCTTATCAGATATTGAAACATAAGAACTGTGGAGTCCTGCAGCATAAAAGTTAGTGTGCTCGCCTCGCAAGAACCAGGAGACAGGGTTAAATTCCTTGCACGCTTCTGTGTACCTCGTAAGTAGGAACCCGGTAGCTAGTCGATTGGCGGACAACTTTCGAGGGGTGATAATCCCTCAGAAAAATTTGGTCACTCAATCCCGACTGTTTATGGGACACTGTTGTGCACAATTGGCTGCCGCCTTTCTCCCACAAAATACAGTCGATTCACTTTAGTGTATTCTGTGAAGCACTTTGAGACGTCTCAATGAAGTGATAAGGCACTATATCAAATGCAAGGAATATTATTATTATTAACCCCTTGGAAATGAAAAAGGAATAACCTTCCACAGATCAAAGGTACTGTTCACGGATTTGCTCGTGAATGCTTTTGTACTTAGTAGGATATTGATATCAGAGCATAATATTTATTTGAAAACAAAAATGCATAGAAAAAGCTGTACAATTTGTTTTCTGCATGATCCTCCTATATTCTGTGCTAGATTTTTCCAAATACTCTTGAAATTCAACATTTGACATAAGAAGCTGGCACCTACCTATGTGATTTGATACTGCGGTGTAATATCATGCCAAGTGTTGTTTAATCCTGTGATAGTGCTTGCTGTGATGGATGTTGTAGTGGAAATGTGAAATATTGAATGTCTGCCAACCTTTTTTGAATTAGTCACAGTACTCTTATTTCACTTCAATTTTATGTCAATCAATCTTCAAGACACAAAAAACCCTACACAAATGTAAATTGCATTGTATTGTTGTAATCCTTCCTACTTCACCTCGTTCAATGTCCATCTCAAGATATACCTCTTTGACCGCACTTTCGGACATCTTCTCCCTCCCAATTCCTTCAGCTTTCACCCCCAACTTGGATTTCTAAGAGTTGTGTTGCTTGTGCACCCAGCCAGGAGCATTAAGTGCTTTAAAATGTCCTTCCGATGTGAACAACACTATATAAATGTAAATTATATTCATAAATTTCTTTTGACTTGATTATTATTTTAAAAAATATGGATTGATATATATATACACATTGCAAATAAAACGTGTCTTAATTTATGTTAAAATTTCAATAAGCTTTAGTTCACTTTTCTCCCATCCTGTCCACATACAGGAACATTTTTGCAGTATCACTTTGTGTATCACTTCGGACAGTAGGTGAGGCATCACAAATAGCCTGAACAAACCACAAAATACTGCAGATGCTGGAAATCTGAAAACAAAAACAGAAGTCACTGGGAACACTCAACAGGTCAGGCAGCATCTATGGAGAAAGGAAAGTGAGTCAACGTTTCGGGTCTGATCCTGGCCTGATATCCTACAAGGAACATGACCTCTTGGAGATCCAAGAGAGTAAATTAAGCAATCCTCATACGCAACCCTAACACCTTGTGAATTTTTTAAACAAATTTCCTTTGAACTTGCAAATGCCCAAGTGGAACATCTCACACATTTTCAGAGTGGTAATAGTTCCCTGCAAGAGATTTAATCAGTCTTGGCATGTTATCGTTTGCCTGTCTCTGAAACTGGTACCATATCTAAATATGTATGTCACCAGTGACTTGTTTACATTTTGTCAATCCACATTACTGCAATGCAGTCTCAGTGGAGCCCAAACCTATCCAGCCATAGCAGACTGAACCATTCAACAATTTGCCCATATTTTGACTTGGACACAGCCTGCAAGTTTCGCACAGTTTCAGTCTGTTCGCGTACGTGAAGCCCCCAACAAACCAAACGAGAACGGAATTGGATGACTTTTTATTTTGCGAATGTGAATCGACACGTATATACAGGGCGCACTGTTTGAAGTAAGAGCGATCAACGGTTGACGCCGACTTCACCTTCAACAGCTCAAAGCAATGCATTATTAACAGTTTACGTTTGGGGTTTTTTTTTAATATATATATACAGGAATGTACACATTGTCCCCGAGTCATGATGTGCTGCTCCACACAAACCACTGTGGTTCTGCAATACTTCTCAGCATCCACCCGGGATGAGTGTTCCTCGCACAGAGCGGTCGACCTCCTCCCCCCACCGAGTGCCGTCGCCACGTTCACCCACTGCCTCTCTCAATTGCGAGAAGACAAGTGGGTTTTCACCGATAACGCCGTTCCGGTCGCTCGGTCCCCCGTTGGCTGCAGAAACCACAGCCGAACCGACCTCCGGGCTGTCGGTCCCCAGTCTCTGTGCCGATTTTATTCCCTGCGCGTCGTGTGACATGTCACTGCTCTCGATGGGGAGAGAGAGAGAGAGAGAGAGAGAAAAAAAAACCTTTCACGGTTGCGAGTTTGTGTTCTTGTAGCCGAGACCTCGGTTTCTATTGCTCCAGTGGTGGGGGGTGTGAGGGGGAGAGAGAGAGAGAGAGATGGAGAGAGGGGCGACGTTGGATGATGGGTCTCACGCTTTCCCCGTCGCTCGTCCCTCTCCGAATGAAGTAACATCGCAAAATTCACGTACAGAAAGAAACGCGTTGTGTGCGTTGGAAGTCCCTTCGTGAGAGAATGCACCGGTGGAGGAGGGGGTCAGTCTTCAGTTGTTCTCTCTCTCTCTCTCTGTGTGTGTGTCCGTCCCGCTGACCCCCTCCCCAGTGACCCCCTCTCCCCGCGGGGTGGGCTAACTGACCAGGCGCGGCAGGTCCGGCTTCCCGTGCGCGCTCTCCACTCCCTTCAACCACTCGCGGCACCTCTCCATCACCTCCTCGGCCGCCGCCTCCCTCCCCTCCGCCCCTTCCTCGTCCTCCTCCTCCTCCTCCTCGTACTCCACGTCGTCGTACTTGTGCCGGTCGTTGAGCAACGAGATCTTCAGCAGCGTCCGGATGTCAGCCGGGGAGCGGGGCCGGGCCTGGGGCAGCGCGGCGCGCGGGCAGGACCTCCTGTTGGTCAGCAGCCTCTTGCGCCTCAGGTCGGACGCGGCGCCCGCGTCCACCCCGGACCGGAGCTGCCTCTCCAGGTGGCGCTTCCGGATGACCAGCACGGCCTCGGGGGTCAGGCTGAGCGAGAAGCGCGCCTCCTCCCCGCTGTTGGCGGCGGCGGCGGCGCTGCCGGTGTCGAGCGGGGAGGCGCTGGACGAGTCCCCGGAGAGGGAGGCGGGGACGCTGTCGCACGAGCCGCCCGGGGCCTTGGGCGCGGGCAACCGGGCGGGTCCGACCGCTGCCCTGCCCGCCGGGTGCTGCTGCCGCTGCTGCTGCCGCCGGGGTTGGGGTCGCCGTCCCGGCTGGAAGTCCGGCTTCGGCCACGAGTGGGGAAACCCGCCGCCGCCGCGCCGCGCTGCCCGGGGTCCGAGCGCCGGGGGCGGCACCGGCTGCGACCTCTCGGCCTTGGCCGCCCGTTTGGTCCGGTCTCGGCCCGCGACAGGCGCGGGCTGGTGGATGGGAGGGAAAGGCGCGTCCCTCTTCGCCACGCTCGCGGGTCGGGAGGTATAAGGGGGGGTTTCCGCCTGGGAAGGGGCGTGGGTCCTCATGGCGCTCTCTCTCACACACACACAGAGTGGGAGTGGGAGTGGGAGAGAGTGGGAGGGAGAGAGAGAGCACCGTTGCTTTCCTGGCGAGACTAACGGTGCTGCAAACTCATCGGGGGGGTCGTCTCAGTTGCCGCTCCGGTCCGTCCAGTTGTCCCGGTGCAGTGCGGATTGCCGCAATCCAAGCGATCGCTCCACGGTTTATATAGCGCACGGAGGCAAACCCCGACTCTTACGCGGCTTCCAGTCCCCGATGACTCATTGGAAAGTAACTTCGTTCCTCCGCCAAGAGCCGTGTCACTCGGCTGCTTTGGCCCCCAATAAGGCAGGACAACAAGAAGCGATTTGCACATTTCCCACAAGGTTGCGAATGCCAAATTCGATGCCGGTGGCTCGTCCCCTCGCCTTTAATAATAATAATAATAATAATAATCCTTGCATTTGATATAGCGCTTTTCACGTCGGGAGGACGTCCCAAAGCGCTTCACAGAACACACCGTAAAGTGAGTTGACTGTATATTTGTGGGCGAACGCGGCAGCCAATTCCGCACAGCAATGTCCCACAAACAGTCGTAGATTGAAAATGACCAATTTATTATTGTTTTTGGTTTTGGAGGGATTATTATTAGGTGTGTGGAGTAAGGAAACTTGCCCAAGGTTTCGCCCTCTGCCTGGGATTGAACTCAGGTCTCTCACTTGCAAAGCGAGTGCTCTGATCACTGAGCTACGGGACTCCTACATTTCTCTCCTACTCTCCTTTCTTGCTCGCAGAGAACATAATTGGCTTTCGCTACAGTAGGCAAAAATCATGTTATCTGCAAAGTAAGAGCAAAAACAACACATTGCATTTTTATAGCGCATTTCAGGTCAGGAGAGCAGTGTACGGTTTCTGTCTCGATTCCAACACAGTATGTGATAAACTGCTGCATGGTACTTGTTGCTATTTCAAAGAAATCTGGATACCACCCCAGTTATTTCTAATTTATATTCCTCCCTATACCAAAATCCAAATAAACTAACTGCTCACCTCGTCCTATTTTATAAGGCATTGGTCCCACAGATTAGTCTGACAATTTGCTTATATCACCTTCACTTCATTTTTAATTATATTTTTATATTGTGTAAAGTACTTTGTGATGTTTAGTTTTACGTGAAAGCTACTATAATATTATGCAAGTCATTTTTGTTTGTGATGAAAGCATTTGCTTTAGTTAGTTGTGATTATTGGTCCTGTTCTGATGCAGTATTTGATAAACATTGGTACTGATACCAGAGTGACTTGACATTAACATACTGCTTAAAGTCGAAATAACTTTAAGCAGGATTTGTGGAGTCCTGTAGCTCAGTGGTTAGAGCACTCGATTTGCAAGCGAGAGACCTGAGTTCAATTCCAGGCAGAGGGCGAAACCTTGGGCAAGTTTCCTTACTCCACACAGAGCCTAATAATAATCCCTCCAAAACTAAAAACAATAATAAATTGGTCATTTTCAATCTACGACTGTTTGTGGGACATTGCTGTGCGCAATTGGCTGCCGCGTTCGCCCACAAATATACAGTCAGTTCACTTTACAGTGTGTTCTGTGAAGCGCTTTGGGACGTCCTCCCGACGTGAAAAGCGCTATATCAAATGCAAGGATTATTATTATTATTAACTGCACCATCGCTGATATTTTACAGAGCGCCATGGAATGCAGGCACGAGTGCCAATGTCATAATTGTAGATCAACTGCAAATTGGAAGTTTATATAATTCATTTCAAAGGGAAATTATAAGATGATTTTGTTTGAATGTCTTGATCATCCTTCTAATGTAGAATAACCCCAACAGCACTTGACATTGTGTTGACAATCTGTAAAAATAACGATGTTTGCATAGCACCTTATCACATCATTAAAAGATCTCAAAGCATTCACAGAATTTACTGTAAAGTGTCGTGACTGTGTATTGTGGACCAGTTTATTTTGGAGAAGTCGCTGTATAATAATAATAATATACTGGCAATTTGATATAGACCTTTTATGTCAGGAGAGCATTCACCCACAAAATACATAGTCACTCCACTTTACAGTAAATCTTGCGAAGCACTTTGAGATATGCTCCCAATATGAAAGGCTCCGTATCAAATGTAAAGATTATTATTTCCAGATGGATAGCCTAGACACTACTGGGGACATATGTTGTGGGTAAAGGTGGCCATGGACTACAACAGCTCTGTTGAATTTGGTGGAGTTAGGATTTTAGGACTGTCTGTAGCAATTCCAACGCTGCCCAAAGCCAAGGCAGTGAGCACTGTTTGGATATCCGTGTGTACTCACTCGTGGCCACCCTAATGATATCCTCGCTGAAAGCTAATGACCTTATGGTTCCATTAACATTGAAAGGTTGTCCTCAAATTCTGAAAAAAAAGGATATATTACATATGATAAAAACAAGTTGCAATACAAGAAGTTTGCACACTATTCTTTCACCCTCAGGCCCTGGGTTTAACTGAAAGAAAGGATGGGTCTCATCTCTTACCTGGCATCCCTCCGAGGTTGTACCTGAGCTACACAAACCAGGAAGGTTTCATTAGTTGAACATAGTTCGGACTGTTCTGCGACAGTCCTGCAGGCAAATTGAGCATTAACTTCATGTTTGTGGAACCTTGGTGTACACTGCTTGCCGACAAATACAGGCAGTACATGTGACAGCAATTAAAGTGTTTGAGTTGTTTTTGATCATGTAGATGTTACATCAAATGCAAGGATTTGCCTTTAATTGTTTCATTGGAATTTGATAGACCTATTAACCATGGTAATGGGAAGGATGGGATGCGAAGTGTTCACTTGCCTGACACAATTTATGAATTACAACGAGGCAGTGAATATTCTTTTTAATGCTCTGTACAGCAGAATGCAACCACAACCTCTCATTTCCAAAACAGATTGAAGGCCAGATAAATGTGCTTTAATTGATACTCTTTAATCTATTTATTTACCAAATAGAGCCATCCAATTCTCAGTTGAATTTGTTGTCACAATCTGCTTCCACCACCCTTCCTGAGTAGCTCACTTCACAACAGTGTGACCCAACTATCACTCCACAACCAAACCGATGAGTGTGCCTAAAAAGACTTGAAGTATATTTCTCTCAAGGTGTGTGCCAAGGCAGCAGAAGCAGTCACTGGTTCAAGGGGTGCAAAGGGCATTTCCAGGACAGAAAGTATTTATTTACCCCCAATGGTAATTAGTACCTGGAAAATCTTATCAGGAAGGATGGTTAACAACAGCAACAACTTGCACTTACATAGCGCCCTCCATGGAGGGTGGCGCCTCAGAGTGCTTAACAGTGGCGGAGCCTGATTCTGAGCCAGGGGGAGGGGGTAGTGGTCATAAGCACTGTCGAACAGGCAAATCTTCTGATGGGAGTTGAAAGAGTTGAGAGGTGGCAAGGCAGAGGGATTGAGGTAGTGTGTTCCAGAGTTTTGGGGCATAGTGGCTGAAAGCACCACCTCTGATGTTGGGGCAGAGGGTGCGAGGGACGAGCAGGAGGCCGGTGCCAGTCGAGCGGAGGCGCCAGCTGGTTGATTGGGGAGTGAGGAGGTCGTAGAGGTAGGGAGGTGCCAGGGAGTGAATGGATTTGAACACGAGAGTGAGGATCTTGAAGTCGATCCATTCAGTGATGGGGAGCCAGTGGAGCCTGGCCAGAACTGGTGAGATGTGGGTACGGAGTTTGGTCTGGGTCAGTATGCGGGCAGCAGAGTTTTGAATGAGTTGGATCTTGTGAATGGTGAAGCTGGAAAGACCAGCGGGAAGTGTGTTGGGAGTAATCTAAGTGGGAGGTGACAAACACATGCAGGGACAAGCAGTTAAGTCTAGGACACTGGACTTTCAAGAAATTGCCTGATGATGGAATGAGCACAGCAGGCGGAGTATTTTGGAAGGATAAGATTGAATGGGCTGAATGGCCTTCTTCATCCATACTTTCCTTGTGATCTTATATACAACAAATACACAATGGGTTTACAACATGTAAAGTAAACCATTCACCTTGTGTCCAATTTAGCTCTCATATCTATGGTTCTCTTGAATTATGTATCCAACACCATTCAGCATTTGTTCCTCCAGTTTCTGTTTCATGAGTTTCTGACGTGCATCTTCTCTTTTGCCAGCTCTCTGTGAAGATATAAAGACTGTTTCAAGTCAGTTCCTTTCTCTCTCTCCCATCATCTGCAACACAGAACTTCCTTTTAATTGGTTTATTCATTCATATTCATTCACCGCAGGAATCTGTCTAACAAGAGTTAACTGGTAGCCATGTAGCCTTGGTGAGGTTTCTTTGTATCCAACTCCCCGTGGCATGATTTGATGAGCATTGATCAGCTTCGCTGTAGAGGTCCAAGGGCAATCCTTTGCAACTTGGAACTTTTGAAATCCTAAAAGCTTAGAAAATTCTGTGCTTTCAAATCTTTTCTGTGTTCACTCTTTCAGGATTTAACCGTTTTCAACCCCAATATCTTATCTCCATTCAACACCGTAAATAAGTATTCTAATATTTAGTAGTGTTTTTGATAACATCTTCAAATGCAAATAAAACAACCATGCAGGAATATAACACTAATGTAAAAGTGCTGTGGTTAGTCCAAATTCAATGCAGTCCAGGAACGGTAATAGCAGTAACCAAACCTGTTCATGTAGGATCACCCTACCTATTAGGATTTTAGTTTACAGAATAGAAGGCCTGCATATAGTTGTATTGATAAATCAAATAGGTTTGTCAATCATCAGTCTTGGATAACTGCAAATCTGCCTGGCTTTACCAGACTGGTTTCTCTCCCTCTAAAGTGGGATACTTTAGTAGAGTGGTGTCCTGTAGCTCAGTGGTTAGAGAACTCGCTTTGCAAGCGAGAGACCTGGGTTCGATTCCCGGCAGGGTGAAACCTTGGGCAAGTTTCCTTACTCCACACACTTGATAATAATCCCCCCCAAAAAATGATCAATTGGTCATTTCAATCCATGACTGTTTGTGGGACACTGCTGTGTGCAACTGGCTGCCGCATTTCGCCCACAAATATATAGTCAATTCACTTTACAGTTTATTCTGTGAAGCGCTTTGAGACGTCTAGAAGACGTGAAAAGCACGATATCAAATGCAAGGATTATTATTATACTCTTCAGAAATTGACATTTGTTCATTCAATATAAAGAAAAGGTGCAGGACTGAATTTCCCAAGTACTTATCAGCATAATTCCACACTCCTAAATCCTTGTAGGGATTTTGAATATGCGCTTTGGATTTTCTAATATAGTATCCTGTAGGGTTGACAATACAATTTTATTCTAGACTAGGCAAAATGGAGAAAAGAAACCCATCCACTGCACAGAATTGTAAGAGAAACTTCATACATAATATATTGATATGTTATGTTCAGTTATCTTCAGAAAAAGATTTTAACAAAATATTCACTAGTAATTAACCCATCTGCCTTCTCTTTTCATGAAAGATGCCACATTTGTGTGAATTTGAAATATTTACAAAAACTGGTCATTAACCACATTCTGTTGAAGCTCATGTTTTATTATAATCGATAAAAAGTGCAAAGCAATCATTATACACTTTGAAAACTATGCAATAAAAATATTTTGTCTCTTGCAATAATCTTGTAAAAATGCTTTCTAGCATTGATAGATTATCAAAAAATAGTAATAAAACACGTTAATACAAGCTTTTAATTAAACAGATTTTTTATTGCAGTAAAATACTGTCTATACTTTATATCCAATCTTTTGTTTCCAAAATAAGACAGTAATCTCTGTAAAACTGAGCACCTATTTACAGTCCTTGCTAACTAAAAATTCAATTCCATTAGATTTTTACTTTGAAATGTATAAGCAAAATTTCCAATCACCATATAGGCACTCAAATAAAAAGAATATTTAATGCTAGTAAGTACAGTGGAATTAATCGCAGAAATATAAAAACATTATAGTTACCAGAAAGAGGATGGAGGCCTGATTCTTTGGCACAGCAAACAATCAACATGTACAACTGGCATTTTAAAACGAATACAAAGAATTCATGTTACATCATTCTCCAATATACAGAAACAAACACAATGCATAGTATTTAGGAGTGATCGGACAATAATATCTGGTAGGCAGTTCTTCCCATATATCTACACACAAGCTCCTGATATTGGCTGCGTACTCAAGCCTTTCACATGTTGGCCTCCTGAGTTATCCAAGACAGACAGTGCAGCACTTTATCACAGCATCCCTGCAAAACAAAATTAGCCATTAGTGCAGGAAACAAAGGTTTAAGTCCATCGACAGTAACTTCATGATCCGCAACTGCACAGGTCATCAAAGAGAACAGGGCAGCATAAATACACATTTTGGATTCCATTCACCTAAAATTGGGGCAACGCTCTGTGTTGCAAATTTATGTTCACAAGGATCTAGGCTATTACCACCACTGTCCTTGACAATTACCAGAAAAACTCAGCCACTTCAGTATGACGAATCATTATAATTATTATAAGCCTCATTATAGTAATATAGCATTGCTGATGACCAGCCAGTCGAGCTCATTGCTGGGACTTGAAGAGACAGACTGGGGCATTGGCCACTGGGGTAGGGATTCTTCCAACTCAGCTCCTGTTAACCCTGTAAACCAAAGCCCTAACGGGTAGGGTGGTCCTAGCTGAACAAGCAGTGGAAGCTTGCCAGACAGTGCTTTCAATGGCAAGCTAAGCAGTTTTAGCTGGTTAAAGTGTAGCAGTACCCCAACGCACACTCTGGGGTCTCCAAAGCTTACTCTTGCCAACCTGCACCTAATGCTCTCCAGGGGAGAAAGAGCGCATTCCATTTCAAACATGGAAATTTCTATGTGTGGTTAGCATGCATGGAACTCAGTTTGGTTTGGCTACTCTTAAGATGCGTTTCCGCATGTGTCTACGCCCGGCTGACCAAAAACAAACACATATCGGTTTTCATAAAATCTGAACCAGTTAAATGCTTTAATAATTAATCATCTGCTATGGAAACTGTTTAAAAACGTATATATACGCAAATTGTAAAACATTTGTGTAGATTGACTTATTTACATGTGAATGGGTTCAGTTGTTTTAAATAGTACATGTTAACCTTTCCCTCCCCCCAAAGGAAATATGAAACTGTGATATTTGAGAGAACATATAAGTCACCACAATAAAGTAGCTGGAAATGTTGATCAATTTACAATACTTAGAAGCTTTCCAATTTTCTCACCTTGCAAAGGGAATGTAGGACAAGCTGTACCTGAAGAGTAAATAAAACAGGAGTTAGAATTCAGACAAGGTCAAGGTACAATTTATGTTTAGACAAATTGTGTAAAAACGTGAAGAGGAATGGCCCTCAATACACTATTGAAGGAAGCCTAGCAAATTCTTCAATGAGTTTATAGCTTTCCTTTGTGAGTGATTGAACATGACAGCAAAGGAAGAACAAGTTGTACAGAACTTTCCACTTTTTTGTATTTCAAGCCACTTCAATTAAGGAACTAAATAAACATCTTCAGTTCAGTAAAATACCCAATGCCTTTGGAACTTTAGAGCTCACAGCATTTTTTACCAGTGTGGAAAAATGGAGCATTGTTTAAGTGTGGAAAGCACCAATTATGTTTTGTTTCCTACTGGGATCACCTTAGTTACATTAAATCACTCAACCCACATGCATCTGCATTATAATTTGATGCCAACCCCTCGTGGAATATCTCTACCTATTGGAGCTGGCTATATGTCTTGGTACCTGGAATGTCTGAGGCGCATCTCATGCTAACATTCTGCGCCATGAATGACATTTTGTTTGAGAACAAAACAGTCCTTTATTAATGAATAACCCAGCTTTAAGTAGCATTATATGGGATAGCAGTATGTTCTAAAAAATGACTTTAGCTAACAGTTGCTCTGCAGATGGAACTAATAGCCTTCCTTGGTATTTAAAGTACAATTTTCTAAGATTTCATTTGGTGACCTTGGTTTAAAGGCTCATGCAAAAGATGTTATATATCTCACCTGAAATATGTCAATCTAATTAGACTGAAAATATACCAAATACTTTGTTTTCTTAAAACAAATCAGGGAGTAAAATGGAGATTTCAAATGACTTGTTAATGCCTTTAGAAAAACTATGGTAAATACTATACTGTTTAGTTCTCTCACAAGATGCTAATATTTGCAATGTATTTTTGAATGCAGACAGGGCAATTCAACTAGCACTTAGTGCTTGGATATTGTTCTCCCTTTTTAATTCACGTATGCTTTAGCAAATTAGATTCATGTTAACAATGTGACCTTCCATTTGCATTCATCACATTATGCATAATATTATATCTGCTAATTTCAGAAATCATAGAATCATAGAATTGTACAGCACAAAAGGAGGCCATTCGGCCCATCGAGTTTGTACCGGTTCTTTGAATAGAGCAATTAATGTCAATCCCACTCCCCCAGCCCTTTCCCCATAACCCTGCAAACTCATGCTCCTCAAATACCCATCCACCGCGTTTTTAAAAGTAGATATCGAATCGGCCTCCACCACCCTTTCAGGCAATGCGTTCCAGATTCAAACAACTCGCTGCGTGAAAACATTTCTTCTCACCTCCCCTCTGCTTCTTTTAGATACTATTTTGAATCTGTGACCTCGAATCACCGACACACCCACCAGTGGAAACAGTTTTTCCTTTTCTAACCTATCAAATCCCCTCATGATTTTGAAGACCTCTGTTAGGTCTCCTCATAACCTTCTCTGCTCCATTGAGAATAATCCCAGCCTCTCCAGCCTTTCCTCATAATCAAGTTCCCTCATTCCTAGTACCATCCTTGTAAATCTCCTCTGCACATTTTCCAATGCCTTAACGTCCTTCCTATAGTGTGGTGCCCAGAACTGGGCGCAGTATTCTAATTGAGGCCTAACCAGTGTTTTATATAGGTTAATCATAACCTCCTGACTCTTGTACTCTGTGCCCCTATTTATAAAGCCTAGAATCCCATTTGCCCTTTTTACAGCCTTATCTACCTGTCCTGCCAGCTTCAAGGATTCATTTGCCTGCACCCGTTCTTTTAACCCCCTTAAGATTGTATTACCAGCCTGTATTGCCTCCCCTCATTCTTTCTACCAAAATACATTACTTCGCATTTCTCTACATTGAAGCTCATCTGCCATGTGTCTGCCCATTTTACCATTCTGTCTATGTCTTCCTGCAGTTGGCTCCTATCCTTCTCACTGTTTACCACCCTACCTAACTTTGTGTCGTACGCAAACTTGGAAATGGTGCTTGCTATACCCAAGTTCAGATCATTTATATGTTTTTTTTTTGAAAAAAAATCCATTCATGAGCTTGTTTTGGAAAGATAACAGTTTGCAGTCTAGTGTATCTAGATCTGCAAATACAGCTAAAAGCCAACAATATTGAATTTAAAAAATGTGCAAGTTCACTTTGCTGTTGTAATTTTCCCTGTTCATGTTATTCCCAACACAGTCACTAGCAATCTGGCAGATAAGAACGGTTGGCTGCAATCCCCACTTTTTGACTGTTTTTGTGTGGATAGTGCTACAGATGGTTGCCACAACAAGCTTTGAAGTGCAGCAATGAATCACAGAAGATATGGAAACTGGCTACACACCTCTATTGCAAGTTAAATAAATAAAACCTGAAGGGGCAAAGACCTTCACACTCCATTAATCAAAGGTGTTTCCCCACACGATGCAAAGCGGATGTGATAAAGAGAACTGAATGTCCCAGAAGAATCCTTTTTTTTAAATACAGTATGTATTAAATCAGCACAGGTCAGAATATAAGTCTACCTATTTGGAGAGGGAGATGGCACCTCCTCAGATTTGGAAGCATCATTTTTCACCCACAAAATGTATAGTTAATTTACTTTGCAGTATATTATGTGGTTATTTGATATGTCTCAACAATGTGATAAAATGCTATATCAAATGCAAGGATTATTATTATTATTATCATTCTTTCTTGATCAATTACACCATTTAATACTGGGGGAGGTAAGGCCACAATTCAGTTTTTCTTCAATTTCCTTAACAGTGTTTTGTGAAGTTTATAAATATGCATAAAATATACTGTCCATTTTCCTCTGCTGCCTTTGGTGCTGTACGTTGGACAATTATTCTGTGCCTTTCTGGTGTCCACAGCATTTTCCAGTTCAGTTTTATTCCAAGTAATTAATGTAACAATATCCTTCATCAAAGCTCAGTGAATCCAACCTTACAGAATAATGCAAGAGAACAGGGATGGTGATTGGGGAGAGGTGTCTCGAGAACAGTGCTGAGTGATAGAGTCCAACCACCATTAACAAGACATGCCACTCAGGGACCAGATTCTACAATGGTCAGAATTGAATACCTTTCTACATTGGATAAATTAACTGTTTGAATAGCAACAGCAGCTTGCATTTATTATGTCCAGGTAATGCCAGACATTTATCACATCCAAGCTTGACTACGTCAACACTCTTTCACCCGATTACCCAACTCTTGTCTACACAAGCTGCAGACTATCCAGAACCCTACAGCTTGTGTACTTTACTGCATAAGTACATGAGCCTGTTACTACCATCCTTTAGCCACTGGCTCCCCGTCCCCCATTGTATTGTGTATTTATGTGTACTCACTCCCGGAATGCTAAAAGCAAGACAACAGTTTTTTTTTAAAAAAAGGTAAAGGAATCTTTCTACTGGCAATAGTTATACTGCATGTGACTGCATTGCACAAGCACAAGTGCAATAAGCAAGTCATGTCTCTGATAAGTAGAGAAGTAATTTGTTTTTGCTCTCTTTTATAAATGATACCCTACGTGACGAGCATTACCAGGTTGTTGCCAGGAACTGCAATATACAGAAGACAAGGGCGAGTCCTTTGTTATGCCACTGAAATAAAACCAAACAAAAATGAATTAATGTCCCATCTCATTGTTAAAATCTTTCATCCCATTCATACAGTTAGACAGTAACCAAAGTCGAAAGCCGCTCAAACTAATGTATTGGCCACTTCACTTTAAAGTATAGAGTTAAAAAGTTTACAACAATCATTTGTTCAAGGCCATGCAAAGGATCCAAAAGAACAAATAGAAACAATGTTTGAAATAGATAGGTGCCAGTTGATTCTGCCATGGGCTTATGTGCTGTAGGTAAAAGTCAAACATGCACACCTGGTGTGCAATGGCCACATACATTGTGAGGCAATCAACACATGTTAATGAAGTACAAATAATATTTTATTTTGTCATTTCCTAACATCAGGGCAGCATCAAATTTAACCCAGTACATTTTATCAGGTCTGCTGAATTTCATCATTTCAGATATAAGGACCAGTTTTTATCAAGACACATGCACTGTGTACATCGATTTTATTTTTACATGTCCCCACAATCCTTTGTGTACCGCATAATAATAATCCTTGCATTTGATATAGCGCTTTTTACGTCTTCTTGACATCTCAAAGCGCTTCACAGAAGACTGTAAAGTGAATTGACCATATATTTGTGGGCGAAACGCGGCAGCCAATTGCGCACAGCAGCGTCCCACAAACAGTCGTGGATTGAAAATGACCAATTTATTATTTTTTTTGTTTTGGAGGGATTATTATTAGGCGTGTGGAATAAGGAAATTTACCCAATATTGTCTTAAATATTAGCTGAACCCATTGTGAATAGTCATTAATAATAATAATAATCCTTGCATTTGATATAGCGCTTTTCACGTAGGGAGGACGTCCCAAAGCGCTTCACAGAACATACTGTAAAGTGAATTCACTGTACATTTGTGGGCGAACGCGGCAGCCAATTGCGCACAGCAATGTCCCACAAACAGTCGTGGATTGAAAATGACCAATTTATTATTTTTTTTGTTTTGGAGGGATTATTATTAGGCGTGTGGAATAAGGAAATTTACCCAATATTGTCTTAAATATTAGCTGAACCCATTGTGAATAGTCATTACCAAAGATTGTTTGATCCTAAGGCAAAGAACATAATAAATGTCACCTACCCAAAGGGCTGCACACAGTGTTAAAATTAAACAGATCTATGGAATGAAACAGAAAAGAGAAAAATGTTGAAATACACAACTAACACGAGAAAAATCTGAATAGTTTTAATACATCATGTTCTTTGCAATGTCATAATTCTAAGAATAATCACAGGCTATCTTGTGCATTGTCAGCGCTGCGCCACCTGTACATTTTTTAAAACAAAATCAGTATGAAGTCCAGTTTATTCTCCTTTTCATATCCCTATTCATTCGTCGTGGCAGGCCACTCAAATCCTGCCACCAAGAAAATGGACAAATAATAAAATTCTATGCCCCCATATCCAATGGATAAACTGCAGTCCTGGTGAGGAGGACCATTTGAAGGAGAGACCTTTCTCCACAATTGGGTTTGATCAGCAGGTGAAATTAAATCTGCATTTTCTGAATTCTTGTAACCATGCATTAATTATTGAAATGCCATTTCCAAAACGAAAACTGTAAGAAAGCTAATTGGCTTAAAACCTAACTTCAGTATGAATAATGTATTCGAAAGGTTAGGGGTTACAAAAAAAAAGTAAAAATAAACTTTTAAGCAGAGACTGGAGAAACAAGGTCGAGAGAAATTTGGGCAAGTGAAAGAGAAATGAGAGCATTGGCAAAGAGTTTACATATACTTTGATTTTAACGTGTTTCAAAATGTGAGCTATTTAGGATTCATGTTATAATAAAGCTATTTCTGATGTTTGAGTAACTTTATTTCTACAATACTAATATTATTTCAGCCTCGCGGCATGCACAATGAAAATATCCTCGGGAGGCAAAGGTTTCCGCAGACCGATGGTACAAGAGTTCATTAATAAAATAATAAAATAAAATTTGTTATGCAACTAGTTTATTTACAAAAAAGTTTATTTACAAGGCTTCAGATTAAGCCACATTATTCATTGCTGAATAAATTAAAATAGTTTACAGAACAAATGGAAAACTAACTTCATGTTCCTATGTGATGTAACCTTGACTGTACTAAGAAAATATCATTCATCATTATGTCAGACCTGTGACTGGTCTATTGTGTTCTGGAAGGTTTAAATCTTCAGGTCATATCTAAAACTGCCACTGCAGTCGGCAGCATGTTTGTGTGCAAATTTTTAATGCTTTCCTACTTATGGACTATCATTTTAACTGATCACTTGTTCACCTACAAAATACAGTTACACCACTTTACAGTATATCTTGTGAAGTGTTTTGAGATGTCTCTGTGATGTGATAAGGCGCTATAATAATAATCCTTGCATTTGATATAGCGCTTTTCACGTCAGGAGGACGTCCCAAAGCGCTTCACAGAACACACTGTAAAGTGAATTGATTGTATATTTGTGGGCGAACGCGGCAGCCAATTGCGCACAGCAATATCCCACAAACAAACAAGCTATGTATCAAATGCAAGGATTATTATTATCAAACAAAGAACTGTGAGGTCCATTCATTTTAAAGCAGTAGCATGGAGTTGGTCCTTCAATAAATTTGTGTGTTTAGCCATTATTGCAAAGTACTACAGTCATTTTCTTTGACTGCATAAGCAAAGGAAACAATAGGAGGTGCAGTTACAAAATGTAATAGCTTCAATAAAGGTTTTTGCTTTCAAATGAGTTATTGACGCTAGATACCAATAGATTTTTCAGATGCTGTATTCAAAATACTTTGAAAGGTTTTCGTGCTCCAATGCACAATGCCACAGGGGAGTTGGATCCACATTCCACCCACTTCTTAGGATGTTTTTAACCTTGGGATCAAATTTGCAGTACACATGATAAATGGTGTGGAATGGGTGGACATTCGACAGCCAAATGCGCACAGCAGTGTCCCACAAACAGCCGTGAATTGAGTGATCAAATTATTATTATTTAAAAAAATGTAAGCGATTATTACACCCAGAAAAGCTATCCGCAGATCGTCTAACAACCGGGTTGCTCCTTACTGCAGAGACAGAGACGTATGGAATAAGGAAACTTGCCAAAGTTTTGCCCGCCCGGGATTCAAACCCAGGCCCTCTCGTTTGTGAGGCGAGCGCTCTAACTTCTAAGCTACAGGAATCCTTGAATTTCTCCAGCTGAATCTTAGCAATTCAGGCCTGCTGCATGTCTCTAAGAGAATTCCCTCCCTTAAACCTCAAATAGCCCCCAACTTCAAAAGCCATTAAAAAAAAACTTCATCCATGCCTACAGTCTTTTCTACCTCCCTCCCCTCCATTATCTCTTTAAAGTGTTCCAAGACATTATTCTACATAAAGACAGTCAATAAATGCTAGTTGTTTTTGACAGACTATTCAGATGTTAATGTGGCAGGAAATGGAATGTCTACCATCCAACTACTGTACAATGTACAAATGTTGCTATCTTGATGCAATACTCGCCTTGGTAAATATTTAGAAGTACAATTGAAACAGACACTATATGATTATGAAGTGTTAAAAATGACATGGTTAGTAAGTCAGTGGAATTTATCAATAATGAATAACAAGCATCAGTAGCTCAAGAATTCCTCTGACGACATTCCAAGGTCAGCATTCATGACTGTGTAAACTCCAGCAAGTTAAATATTGATTATCAAGAAGTTTGCTTTGGGGATAGGAATGAGTTGAAAGAAACAGGAAAAAGGAAGAAAATATTTGCAAAGGTATGCAGATGAGAACAACAACAACAAGATTCCATTTATAGAGCGCCATTCACGTCGGGAGGACGTCCCAAGGCGCTGTACAGTTTGGTCAGGACCCGAGCAGGGGGGAAATGGTCAGGGTGAGGGGAGGGAAGGGAGGGAGCGAGGAGGGGTAGAGAGTCGAGAGGGGAGCTGAAGGCACGTTCAAAGGGAAAGGTCTTGAGACCGGCCTTGAAGGAGGAAAGGGAGGAGGCAAGACGAAGCACTGGGGGATAGAGTTCCAGAGCCTCGGGGCTGAGAGGCTGAAGGCCCGACCACTGTTGCCACATGCAGTAAGAAAATTCACACTACAAATACCTCCAGAAGAAATCAGATTGTTTCAAATTAATGCTTTTAAAACCTACATTTCAAACTCATTCATGGGATCTTTATGTCCACCAGAATAAGCAGAGTGGGCCTTGGTTTAATGTCTGTCAAAGGAGGCACCTCTACTGATGCAGCGCACCCCCAGCAGTGCACTGAAGTACCAGCCTTGACTGAGCTCAAAGTTCTGATGTGGGGCTTAAACCTACAACTTTCTGACTCGGAGGCGAGAGTTCTACCAAGTGAGTCGGGTTAATGAGTCAACTGAAAAAGGAATGAGTTCATCCAGATCGCCAATGACTAGAGATGAGTTGATATAGGAAGCTTGTTTTCCACAGCATCAAAATGATAGTAAATGCTCTGCTTCCCAACACAATTATTATCTCGGTTTTTAAAAGTTTTTAAAAATCTGGATCATTAAAATTATTCAGTAGTTACTGAAACTAAGATAGGGGATTTGTGCAGTTGTTCAATATCCAAGATCTCAAATGAACCAGAGTATCAAGATTATAGATATATGTCCTTTGCATATTTATTGTTCTGCACTGAGCTCATTGAAATAGTATGTCAGATTTAACGATCCGCATCATTGCTTTTCCATCACAGGAACTGGTAAGAACTTGTTAGGTAGTAACAATTTAATTACCAACATGACGACAGTGGCAATCCACCGATTTGGGTCAACCATTTTTTTCAGTTGTTTCAAAGGTCCCATTAGAAAACAGGTGCTGGAATGAAGAGAAGCAAAACACAAAGATTAGTTTTGGAACAAGCAATTTTTGCACATAAGCAAAAGTGTTTCATAGTAGAGGAAAAAAGACAACAAATTTCATGCAAAATTATGAGGAATTGTAATGATGAAACTTACCATTAAAAACCTTTTAATGTTTCACAGCACTAATTCAGGCAGGATTGTCCTACCATTTAGTGACTTGGCAAGATTAAGGATAAGCCTCCACTTCAAAATTTGAATGGTAAACCAGGTCCGGGTAAAAATCAACAACCTTCAATTACTGCAGGCTAGCTTTGCCTTGGAACTAGTTAAAACACAGCGAAATCCATTTACTTGTGTCAAAAAGATACTTTGTAGATACTGTTCATTTTATGGATCTCGGAAGTGTAAAGGGCTGCCAGTATGACCATTACTTGAGAACTTTTTTTCCCAACTACACTTTAGATTAGCTTCCTCCACCCCCAGCTCGGACTCCCAGTCAGCTACAAAGTGAAACACTTTGCGATGTCTTCCTCATTGTTGAAAATGCTATTCAAATGTAAATTGTTGATCCTGCTGATTCAAACCCTAAATCATCTTGTTTCAAGTTCAAAGTGCTCAAGAGGCTGAAATTCAATTTAGACAGCTGACTCGAATCCCTGGGCTTGTTCAAGCATGTAAAAAAAAAACTTAAGACTTTGTGCACATGGGACAGCATTGGAAAAATTGAGGCAGGAGGCGAAAAATGCATGGGTAAGGATTTCAGCTGCACTCCGCACACCATGTTTAAGATTAGCCAGTCGCATAAAAACAGGAGTAGGACACTTGAACCTGTTCCGCCATGCTATATGATCTTGGCTGATCTGTATCTCAACTCCAATTATCCGCCCTTCCCCACTATCCCTTGATACTCCGACCTAACAAATATCAATCCGCCTCAGTCTTGAAAAAGTGAATGGATCCAGCCAGCATTCACAGCCTTTTGGAGGAGTTTCAGATTTCCATGACCTTTTGGGTGAAAAACTGCCTCCTGATCTCATCCTACATGGCCTAGCTCTAATTTTAAGATTTTGTTTTCTTGTTCTGGATTCCCCCACGAGAGGAATTAATTTCTCTGTATCTACCCTATCAAATCACTTTATTATTTTAAACATCTCATCAGATCACCCCTCAAACTTCTAAACTCAAGGGAATAGAGACAAAGTTTATGCAACCTGTCCTCATAATTTAGCCCTTTAAGCCCTGGTATTATTCTGGTGAATCTGCACTGCACCTCCTCCAGAGCCAATATATCCTTCCTGAGGTGCAGTGCCCAAAACTGAACGCAGTACTTCAGATGGGGTCTGACCAAGGCTCTATATAATTGAAGCATCATTTCCGTTCCTTTACATTCCAGCCCCTTTGAGATAAAAGCCAACATCCCATTAGCCTTTTTGATAACTTTTTGTACCTGTGAGCTTGTTTTAGTAATTTGTGCCCGTGGACACCAAATTCAACCAATTATCAAGCCATGTTGCAAGCTTACCTCCGATTCAATTTGCTTTTATATTTGATAATAACCTCTTGTGCGGTTCATTCCTAGGACCCCGCTTACCTCCCACCAAGGAAGATCATCAAATTCAATTTCCTGGAGAATTAGATGTACAGAACTTCCTTGAAGTACAATAATCAGTTGCAAAAGGGTCAGAAGTAAAATTTATGTTTCAATTGTTGAAAGAAACAAAATGACCAAATGACACTTACAGTGCACGATACTCTTGGTGAAACAATAGCAATTGCGTGTGGGTTGCAGTTATAAATTCCAAGCTAATGCCAAAATATTTTGAGCCTTCTACGTCCATGAATGCAGAAGCAATTGTTTTCCAAATAAATTGGTATCCAGACTGACGAAGGCAAACGACTAACAGGGCGAATTTTTGTTTGCATTCAGACGTCATGACGATTAATTTGTTTTGTTCCATATATGCAATTCATACATCAATCGAATACTTAACCTGCTCTGAACAGCTGCGCTATTCGTACTGGATGACGTTATAGTCTTGCGATGTAGTTTTCAAGAATGATCCTAAGCAAGCAAGACCTGGCTATCTTTGTCCTTCCTCCACGTTTATGGATGCAGTTGAAACAGGACCTATCTGCGACATGGTTTCTCAATTTATTATGTTTCAAGCAGAGGTCATTTTGAAAAGAGAAACTATTCCATGTGCCAACATTGTTGTTTTTCACACACAACTTTTTAAATTGTCTAAAACGGAACTGCGCCCTTGAAATCTGGTATATTTGATTTATTGTTGCTTTCAATGAAAAGTTAAAAACGTAATTAAAATTCTTCCATAATTGTCACTTTCATGAGTGCTTATTTTGCTCAGATAATTACTCCTCTCACCTCAATGTTGTACAGCAGTTCCTAATTATTAATCTCCTTGAGTTTAAATAAAAAACAATGCATGGAGGAAATCCAAAATTAAAATAGAAAATGCAGAGCAATCCATAATTACAAGAGACTGGGGCCATGTTTATGGTTTTTATTCTATGATTTTTTTAATACAAACTGACTCAGGTTTTCTAGAAGCACTTATTTAATGATTTTCAAATGTTTCTTTTCTGTTAATGCCTACTTATTTCTTCCATCTCATTGTGGTTTTAATTATATTCACAGTTTCATTAATAGAGATTGCATTAGGATTTTTAAAAATGTGTACCGTGCACGCTAGGGTATCTAAAAATGCATACATCCCATATGGTCATGCGTACAACGATTGCATTTTCTCAGATAAACAAAGGCACATAATAGGGATGGGTCTGAGTATTCCCAGTGAGCCATTTGTAACTCCCATCCATGACTTTTCGTCTCAGCCCTTCCCTATCTGCCTTCATATCATGCCTTAAAACCAACCTCTTCAGCCGTGCCTATGGCCACCTCCTCAACCCCCACCCCCCTTCCACCCCAAACCCGGTCAGAATCTGCCTTGTCTTGTAAAGAGCTTCTAGATGTTTTCCTTATTGAGGTGCTGTGCAAATGCAAGTTATTATTGCATACACAAAGTTCCTGCCTGGACTATAAACATGCTGATCGATAGGGAGCAGACATCAATGGTGTACCACATTGTGTGCTGTGGTACAATCTGATGGAACGGAGCCAATGGTAAAACAAAGTTACCAAACAAATCACTGTTGCCAGGTGCTTTCACTTTTGTGACACTCTCAACTACTTTCATTTTGCAATTGGCCAGTTCCATGCAAATCTCTTGGTGTCAGTACACTTGATGTCAACTCAAAAGTAATGTAATTTCAATATCCATACAACCAGCAGAAGATTACATTTAGAAGCATGACAGAGTTGGCACTACAGCCTTCTGGTGATCCTTCGCGACACAATCACTTCAACCGCAAGTTAAAACAGCTACCCAGATACACCCAGAAATAAAAAAATATTAATAATTTGGTCACTCAATTCACAACTGTTTGTGGGACACTGCTGTGCGCAATTGGCTTCTATGTTTTGTCCACAAAATATACAGTCAATTAACTTTACAGTACATTCTGTGAAGCGCTTTGAGACGTTTCAAAGACGTGATAAGGCCCTGTATGAGATGCAGGGATTATTACTAAATTTTACACTTTTTAATCATGTGCTTTCTTACCATTTCCTTTTAAGGACCTCAGATTGTTTTTTTTTAAAAATTAATGTAACAGGCTCATTCTCAATTCTCAACGCACCCACCCACTGGCATCACTGTACTATTATGCATCTTAAACCCTAGTAATCTCAACAAGTGGCCATTAATCAAATAGACCGAGCTTTGCTTTTTCCCTAATGAGTCCTCCCCTGTCAAAGAGTGATACAAGAGTGATACAAGATGCTTTACCTAAATTGATAAAAGGTTTAGCCCTACTCCTGAACGAAGGAAACTTCCTTAAATCTGGAAAAACTGGAATCAACATTTATCTAAAACTACCAGATTTGATATCTGTAAATTGATAAGACACTTACCTGGAAACAGCAGCAATATTTCCTAATGTGTAAAAAACAGCAAATAATTTTATTCCATTGGGAAGCCAAAGTAAGAGAGTTCCCTGAAACACAAATACATAATACAATGGGTAAATTCCAACATCTTATGGCTTATTCATATTGTACTATTGGCATTGTACTAACTGTACATATTGGCATTGTACTAACTGACTCTTGCTATATGTATCTAAATTTGATAATAAAGCCCCTTTAAAGGAAGATTCTTCTTTGGAAAATATTCAAGACATCAGAAATTAGCAATGTCATGAAAATATTCTACTTCATCCATTTAAAGTTTAGAATTATAGAATCTAAAATTTTAATATTTCATAGAATCATAGAATATTAATGCACAGAAGAAGGCCATTCGGCCCATCATGCTCGCGCAGGCTCTTTGGAATAGCTACCCAATCAGTCCCACTCCCCCGCTCTTTCCCCAAAGTTTTGCAAACTTTTCCTCTTCAGGTAGCTATCCAATTCCCTTTTGAAAGTTGCTTTTGAATCTGTTTCCACCACTCTTCAGACAGTGCATTCCAGACAGTAACAACTCTCTCTATGCAAAACATTTTCTTCTCATCTCCCCTCTGGTTCTTTCGCCAATTATCTTGAATCTATGTCCCCTGGTTACTGACCCACTGGCGAGTGGAAACAGTTTCTCCCTATCTACTCTATCAAACCCCCTCATAATTTTGAACACCTCTAATAAACCATTGCTTAACCTTCTTTGCTCTAAGGAGAACAATCCCAGCTTCTCTAGTCTAGTTTATAAATATTTTTATTTATTGCATATAGCTATAGATCAATTTTATAATCTAAATAATAATCTAAAATTCCCTATGGGGTTTTCTTTAAGAATTCTTAGATGTTACCTGTGTGAAGGGCACTATCAAGATAAGTTATTGCTTAAATTAACTCTAAAGGAGTTAGATTTGAGACTCCAATTGAAGAAGTGCAATGTGTCAATATACAGTGGTAAATCAGTCAGTTGTTATAACGTAGGGATGAAAAAAGAAGTATCTGTAGTTATTGGATATAATCTAGAGTTTAAAAGACCAACAATAATTTTTGTCTTTTTATTTTGAGATTATACATTAAACTGAGATCTAAACTACCTGCTCAAGAGGATATTAATGATATTACTCAGTTATTTCATATCATATGGTTTGCGCTATATTACTGTGCACAACTGGGCTGCTGTGTTTGCTACAAATACCCCTTCACTTCATAGTAAATCTTATTTAAGCATTTTCGAATGTTGTCCTCCCAATGTACACTTCCAAAAAATTGGGTATATTTGTGTTCCAGAGATTTATCTTTTTAAAAATATATTTTTAATGCATGAACATGACATAAATTCTATGTACAATCATTTATTACAAAGTAATACTGCTTAAGCTACATTTCAATGTCACCCCAAATGTCACTACATGGTTTTAATGAACCATGATGTATTGTGATTTAAATAATACTGCTTTTTTACTAAGGGATCACCAAAAACAACAATTCAGGAGATGGGTACAATTTGTACTTACAAGAATAGAGCAAAAAATCCCAATGGCAAAGCAAATCATAAACCATTTCACCCTGGTTCCAAAACTGAGTGTAGTTCCCTCAAGGATCTTAAAAACAAAAAGAAAAACAAAAACTGTGCAACAAGAAATGCTCAACTTGTGAAATTGTGGCTGCCCTCCAGAAATTAGGCTTTGAAGATTTGTGTGTTTCAACATGGACAGTTACAAGAAGTCACTCAGTGCTGGGTGGCTGGAAAAGGGGAAAACCTTGATTACAGCTGAACAGGAACAAACAATTGGAAGTTGGCCAAATATTAAACAAACAGTGTACTTCCCAATTTTCATCCATGCAGAATAGTTAATTTTAGCAAAAAAACCAAATGTTTAGGTTGTTTATTCTCAAAATGATTCTTCATATGATTTTCAATTAAATTCAGAGAAAAAAACACACACACCAGTGGTAATATCAGTTTGACAAAAAGTGGTCAGCCAGTTCAGATTTTAACCAGTGAATTGTGAAACTTACTTCTAGAATGGCTACTGGTGTGCATAGAAATTTGAGCTTGTGCCAAAAAATATGTACATTTTTCTGAATTGACCAATGCAGAGTCCGAGAAACACATTAATAGTATAAAACACATTATTCTTTATAGATGCGCTTGGAGAAGGGGACAATGGTAAAAGTTAAAACGTGTAACCATATTTTACTGAGAGTAGAATAAATAATGAAAGTAATAAAAGTTAAGATATAGCATTAGAATAGTTTATGGCCCTCACATTAGAATTCATTGGACACTGCTATCATCTTTTATAGCTACCACCTTCATAGATTGTGTTGAGTAGTACACAAAATTTAAGCTGTTAGATAGAAAAGCAAGTGTACTGAATTACTATATTTTTAAATGTATCCAAGATATAATTTGCACTTGTGATCCACAATGTAGTTGCTATTAACTGCATGGTGACAAAATAGTTGGTGAATTACAGTGGCAGTAGTTTGCAAATTCAAACTAGAGTTAAAGGTATGCTTTTTTCCCCAACTCGTAGTTAAGAATTATATTGGTAAACTTGAATTAAAACCCTAGTTAATATTTTTTGCTAGTACTCTGCAAAAAATAAACAAGGCATCTCATGTTGCAGAATACCAATAGGTTGTGAGGCAGGAATCAAATTTAATTTCAATTATATAACCAGAGGCAGATCCTAGCAGTGGCTGACACCTTGTAACACTATGAAGTGCTGATCAAACTTGTTGCACACTGACTCTGATGCACCAAACACCATGTACTAAAAATGGTTACCTGTACTGTAGGCAGCAATACAAGTTTCACACTGTACCTTTTCTAGTCACGACATGGTGTCTTAGAAACCTTACAGGTGGTCAAATTTAAACTCATCAACATGTTCCTTACCTGATTTGTTCCTGACGCTTATCCTTAGGCAGCATGAAAGAAGCAAACAATTAACAACACTTTACAGTTTGACCTTATGTTATTTTGTTCTGTGTCAGGCAAGGTGAATGCATTGAGATTTTAACTTTGTTTGTCCATCAGCAACTTTAATAAAATAGCCATGCATTCCGTGTATTTTTTTTTACTTTACCAGGTGCAATGAAGAGAATTTAGCATAAACTATGCATACGTCATAGAAATGTTAATTGTTAAAAAAACAAAAAACCCAATTTAGTACCACATTTGGGTACACGTATAACAAAAATACTTGTATTTGGTATAGCGTCTTATCACATAATTGAAATGCCTCAAATGCATATCTACTTGGATAGAGACTTCTACCAAATTCAAGACTCAGAAGGAAAAGGAGTAGGGCAAAAAACTACAACATCTTCAATGCCATTTGACTAATAATCTGGCAACTGTATGTACACAGTAGCCTTTTCACTCTAGAGCATACCTATAAGGAAAATTACCAAATGTATTTTTAAACTACAATTTAAGATGAACATAACCAGCAATGGCACATCTTACCTTCTATTTAGCTCACCAAATGGTTCTAAAGCTAGATGCTAACAGCAACGGAGGAGAAAGTGATTTACAGTTTTAGTGTTAACAATTGACAGTTTAGGATTACACGTTTTGAAGAGTTTCTCAAAGTTGAACCACGAGTATAATAATGAGTTGTATATCGTGGAATCTCACAAGGCGAGCAATTACTCCCGTACAGATCAGAAGACAAACTCTGCACAATCACAGGAAATGGGAGATTAGCAGGATGCAGAAGTCTTACTTGGCTTACCAAGCTAACTACTTTCTCTCTTTGATTACATATTTGTATTTATTTCAACATGGTATGTGGGGGAAAGAGACAGGCTGAGAGGATCTTGGAAGTATAACAATCTGCATTAAATATTCAGATGAAGCAATTTCAAGGATCATAGGGAGAAATTATGCTACTTTTTCTATCAATCGAAGTGAAACTAGAGATGATTTCTTCCACAGTGCTTAATAAAGGAATTTCTCAATACTAATTGTTTGGGGAGGAACGAAAAAGGAATAGGAAGAGGAATGCCGTAGAATTTCACATGTGGTTTTTCATACTTTAAAACTGATGGTCATAACCAGCCCAGAAACTCCAATTTTACACCATAAATGGCGCAACCACCATCAAGATATACAAGAATAAAGGCAAGAAGTCTGACTGCCTAACTATCTCACTATCTATAGCTGGCAAGATTCAGAGTTGGAATCTTTTGGATCGCCTACTCCTGAATGTAGCAGACAGGAAGCTTCCTGAATCACAATGTAACTTCAGGGGTAACTGAGGGACCGTGGGCACGATCTTTGTTGCTCACCAAATTCAGAAGTGTAGCGAGCAGAATCAAGATCTATATGTGGTGTTTGCTGACTTGGCCAAAACTTTCAAGGTTTTCAGCTTTCAAAGTTGTCATAACTTCAGATACTTATGAGGAAATTTGGTTGTTCAGAGAAGTTCTTGGAAGTTCTGAAACAGCTCCATGATGGGACGCATGACAGAGTGTGTACTGGTATTCTGTCAGAACAGTTCCCCATTACGAATGGTGTTAAGCAAGAAAGGGCCCTGACCTATTCACACTCTTATACGACTATGCTAGATGATGCAAATAGGTATCTTCAGTTAGAAATTGGAATATGAATCCGTACTATCAAGACTGCGAGCATTGACTAAGGTCTCCAAACAAATTATACAAGAACTTTTGATTCACGCTGATTCACGCTGATAGCGCTTTCTGAAGAGGAGCTTCAGCTGTTGATAGATAGATTCACAGATTTTGGTATAAGGTATGAACTTATTATTAGTCTGAAGAAGATTAAAGTAACGTACCAACTAGCTCCTGGGAAGCCATATATAGACCATTGATCTCTATTGGCGAAACTGAATTGAACGCGGTCAAGGAGTTATCCTATCTTGGAAGTGTACTGTATGATGACGTAGGATCGATAAGGAAGTGGTTTTCTTTCTCGGCTTTTGTATATATCCATTAGCATACCTCTGATTCATACCCTACTCCTGAACCCAAAATGTTTCAACAGAACAAAACCCAAATATATATATAGCTCTCTAATAGATATCAAATATGTATATACCAGATACAGCTATTTTGATAGCAGTAGTGGATAACACTGATAATCCATTGCACTTCGTTTGCATTTTACTGAGTACTAATATGCAGCTGAGGTTATAAAAAAATCTTACCAGGTTAAAATATCACAAATTCCCATTCTTCTAACTCATGTGACCACAGTGGCCTGAGAGGAATTGCATGCAATATATACATACAACACGAAAAAAACAAAGACCCTTTGTGAATGGGTACATGACTACCGCGTGCAGGCAACGTCATGTTGCAGCTGCTTGATCTGTTCGGCAGTTTCTCACGTTCACAGTTGGAACCAGTTTTACTATAAACTGAACAATGAAGCCTGAAAACCCAAAGCATATTTGTGAAGTGCTGTGATAATAAATCATAATAATTCCTTAAAAACAATAATAAATTGGTCACTTCAATCCACGACTGTTTGTGGGACACTGCTGTGCACAATTGTCTAGCGTGTTTCAGCCACAAAAATATACAGTCAATTCACTTTACAGTATATTCTGTGAAGCGCTTTGAGACATCTCGAAGACGTGATAAGGCGTTATATCAAATGCAAGGATTATTATTATAAATTACAAATTATGACTAGTTGTTTTCTTCTGATGTCACTAAGAAGCAAACCTAGTAAACTGACCACCCCGATGAGCATGTTTCATTAAACTTGTGGTTACGGCAAGAAAAGCAAGTATTTTATCAAATGCTTGCAGCCCTCTCTCTTCTCGCACCAAACATTAGTTACATCCTCTGAAAAGAAAAGAAGAAATTCACTAGCCTAGAATATATTAAAAATGGCAAAAGGAAACCTTTACATTTAGATCCAAAATAATCTTGAGCTTTGAAATATCCCCCACCCCCATCAATTTTCACATACATACTGCATTATATAAATGCGATTTGTTATTGTTGTTGATGTAATACCAGTATTTTGTACACCAACTCAGCTACCTCCAATATTCCTTCATTCCTTTCCCCTCCCCTCAAATTTCTATGTGCTTGCAAAGGTGAAAATATCATCTCTGGTATATGAATAGAATTTATATCTAGATGTTGAAATGATGCTCCCCTTCTTACAGACATCATAAACCTCTCCCTGTCCACTGGCACCATTCCCACCCCTTTAAAAACAGCCATCATCACTCCTATCCTTAAAAAACCCTCCTTGGACCCATCCCTGCTCTCAAATTTCCGCCTCTTCTCCAACCTCCTTTTCCTTTCCAAGGTCCTGGAACGAGCTGTTGCTTCCCAGCTTCGTTCCTTCACCCGCCACTCGATTCACGAACCCCTCCAATCGAGATTCTGTGCCGTCCACAGCACAGAAACAGCTCTGGTCAATGTGACAAATGACATTTTGTCCATCTCCGACCAGGGCTCCCTCTGATTCCTTGTTCACCTTGACCTCTCTGCTGCCTTCGATACCGTTGACCACTCTATGCTCCTCCACCACCTCTCCTCTCACCTCAACCTTCATGGCTCGGTCCTTGAATGATTCAGATCCTACCTCTCACACCGTTTTCACTTCATCTCCACAACGGCTTCTCCTGTAGCCCCCTCACTGTCTCGCGCAGCGTTGCTCAGGGCTCTGTCCTTGGTCTATATGCTCCCTCTTGATGACATCATGCCAAGACATGGGGTCAACTTTCACATGTATGCAGATGACACCCAACTCTATCTGTCTGCCTCCACCCTCGACTTGAGGACCAGAATGTCTGTCAGACATCAAGTCCTGGATGAGAGCTAACTTTCTACAGCTGAACGTCAACACGATCGAGGCCCTCCTGACTGTCTCTCATCAGTGCCTCGTCACCTCAGGTCCTGACAGCATCACCATCCAACAATGCACACTCCACCTCACTGAGCCAGTCCGGAACCTTAGCGTCTTGTTTGACCCTCAACTACCCTTTCTACACCACATCCGTATCATGACCCACTCTGCCTTCCCCCACCTCTGCAACATCGCCCAGCTCTGCCACTGTCTCACACCGCAGGCCGCCGAGACCCTCATACACGCCCAGGCTTGACTATGCAAACTCCCTGCTTGTCGGCCTCCCCAACTCCTCCCTCCATAGGTTGCAGAACATCCAGAACTCTGCAGCCCGTGTCCTTTCCTGCACCAGGCTCCGTGATCCCATCATTCCCATCTTTGCCCGACTCCACTGGCTTCCCATCACACAGAGGATACAGTTCAACAACAACAACAACAAAATTACATTTGCAAAGCGCCTTTCACGTCGGGAGGAGGTCCCAAGGCGCTGGACAGACAGTGTTTCAAGATCCTGGTCCTCATTTTCAAAGCCCTCCAAGGCCTTGCTTCCTCTACCTGTGACGCCCTAACCCCCCTACCAACGTACCGCTCCTTCCGCTCAGCGTGCTCCAGCCTGCTTCACGTCCCCCGCCTTGCCCACCCTCTACCCTCCCGGATCCCGACCCTCAGGTCGCATCCGAAGCACTGATTGTCCAGCGCCTTGGGACGTCCTCCTGACGTGAAAGGCGCTATACAAATGCAATTTTGTTGTTGTTGATGTCCTATGTTTAGGAGCTGAAATGTACAAATGTAATTGATATTAATCAGTATAAGACAAGTTACTTATTAATAAGATATTAATATAAGATTAACGGGTAGAATAGGAGACGGCAAACTGATAGACCATCACTCAAAAGAACTCAGCGACTCTAGGTCTGGGGCGAACGTGTCGGCGTGAGCGCTCCGGGGTCGCGCCTCAGCTGCATTTATTATTATTATTATTTATTATTATTTATAATAACTGGACATCGTGGCGTCAGGGAATAATGGTGTCGCACATCCTCAGGTCAGATGTGAGCGGTTTTGGGTGCCAGGGTTTAAACCCTCCGAACCACACGGCAACAGGAAGTGGGCAAAGGCCACTTTTCTTCAGGGGCCCCTAATGAACAACCGGGTTCTGGGGGTCTGAGGGGGGAATTAAGAGGGGATTAGCGGGACCGTGTGGGGGGGGAGGGGATGATTCCGGGGTGCGAGGGCCGGTTGCCGGGGTGACGAGCGCCGGGGCCCGGCGGTGGTTACCTGCGTTGTCAGGCCCTGCTCCTCGTCATCCTGACCGCTCAGGACCCGCCGCAGTTTGTCCATCGCTGACCCTCCGCGCGCTCCTTCACCGGAAACAACCCCTGAGCGGTGCCACACACAACATCCTCCCCCCACCCACACACCCCCCGCGCGTCAGGGGACACGCAACATCCGGTCCCCCGACAACCAGACAGTTTGGGCGGGTTTTTGGCCGTTACTGTGAAACATACTCTCGTTTTAATTCCTTTTTTTTTAAATTTCAACTTGCAAGACGTTGCCCCCCACCACCCACCCCCCACCTCATCCCCGAAAACATTTTCTTACAAATACAAGTGCAAAGTTTCAACAGCACTTACCCTGAATCGGCCACTCTGTTACCCCGAGGAGGCGACGCATACTGTTGGGCTACTTTTGGGCTGGTGTTCGGTGACTTTGGGCTACAAAACCCAGTTTGATGCAAAAGAACACTCAGCAGGTCAGGCAGCATCCATGGAGAGAGGAAAGTGAGTCAACGTTTCGGGGCCACGACCCGAGACGTTGACTCGCTTTCCTCTCTCCATAGATGCTGCCTGACCTGCTGAGCGTTCCCGGCCACTTCAGCCGAAGAGTCGTGGACCCGAAACGTTGACTCGCTTTTCCTCTCTCCATAGATGCTGCCTGACCTGCTGAGCGTTCCCGGCCACTTCAGCCGAAGAGTCGTGGACCCGAAACGTTGACTCACTTTCCTCTCTCCATAGATGCTGCCTGACCTGCTGAGCGTTCCCGGGCCACTTCTGTTTTTGTTTTCGGATTTCCAGCATCTGCAGTGTTTTGCGTTCTGTTTGAACGTGTTTTCGTTTTGGTACATTCTAGTGTTAGAGGAATGAACAAGAGCAACAATTAGATGAACAAGGGGTTTTGAAAGGAGATGTCTACGAGGGGGGCTTTATCGAGGTACACAACATTATAATGGGATTAAAGAAGTAAACCCGGAACAATATCTTTTGGTTTCCAAGACAGCAGAATAAGAGAACAAAACGCAAAATACTGCAGATGCTGGAAATCTGAAAACAAAATCTTTTTTTATTTTCAGAATAAGAGAACATCGGTTTAGAGTTACAAAGGGTAATTTCAGGGCCAACGCTAGGGAGGAGTTATTTATCCAGGAAGTAATTAACTTCTGGAACAAATTACCAGGAAGGGCATTTGAGGCCAGAGTGCTGGACTACTTAAAAACAAACAACTTGATGGTATGATGGGAAGCCGATTATGGTGGATATTTTGGAAGGATGAGATCAAAAGGGATGAAGGAACGATTACATGCAAAACTCTTGTGATCCTTTAGCCTATTGCGCCACCTCCTGTTTGTTCTGCCAAAACAAAACACCACAGTGTGGAACAGTGTAAAAAAAAATCCCTTTTTTTATGGCCTTCATCTGTGCAAACATGGAAATGAAGGTTAAGACATAAGACAGGATTTGGTTTTAAATTCAAACTGTAAAGCTGTGCCAAAGGCTTTGCTTGGTCTACATACCAATTACTGATTTATTATACAACAACAAAATTACATTTGTATAGCACCTTTCACGTCGGGAGGACATCCCAAGGCGCTGGACAGTCAGATTTTCAGAATATAATAAATAATATATTATTATAATACAGTACAGAATATGAATCATTTCATTTGAAATGGCTTGAAAGGCTTCTCTAATTGTTACTCATAGCTCAATTGTGTATTCACGTCACGCAAACTTTAGTGACAAAGTGTTTGGTTACCAAATAATATTAATAAGTCTTGCATTCATATAGCACTTTTCACTTCAGGAGGATATCCCAAAGCATTTAACAGTATTTTACTGTAATGTGGTGTGACTACGTTATTGTCAGCGATCGGCCAGTTATGCCCAGGAAGGTCCCACAAACAGCCATGAAATGAATGACCATTTTTAATTTGGGGGATTGTTGGCCAGGGCACCAGGAGAAGCTCCTCTCTGTTTTTGTGTAGTGCCATGGGATCTTAACATACACCCGAACAGGCAGACCTCTCACATGCAACACCCTGCCCACCACCCCCACTCCCGCATGCACTGGAGCGACATCTTAGCGTATGCCCAGATGTGGGGCTTGAACCCCCAACCTTCTCACTCAGAGAACACCACCAAATGAGCCAGGCTGACTAAAATAATCAACTTCGTCAAACTCATTACGTATATTCCTTACAATTGTAATATGTGATATCCACCAGTGTGTGATGCTGTTGAAATACTGTAGTTTACAGTAAAGTATTTGAAACTTCTGCTCAGCACCACAAGTGGCTGTAACTAGGTACAGCAACACATGAATTATTTCAATATAGAAACCAATTACTATACAGTGGTCCAAAGTAACACAAATCGGATATTAAGGTATGTATGTGAAATAGTAATATCATTAGAAAGTTTATCTCACAGACTGAAAACATCTGTCCTATGCTGGTAATTTTAGGGCGAAGTGGAAATTATATGCTGAAGACATAAGAATTGAAATACGAGTATTTGATGAACAAATGTACAATGACACTTGTAAACTGGATCAATGCTAGTTAAAAACAAGCTTCAATCTCTTTTTAAACTTTTTTTCTTTTTGTAATTAAATGTTTTTTACTGTCAAGAGTATGTCGTGATTTTTCCCTCTTTATCAATCACTTTTTTTCTTGTCTTTTTGATTTCTATGATTCTGTAACAAAGGAATAGGTTTAGACTAGATAGTGGGTGAGCAAACACTAGAGTAGATATCAGCACAGACATCATGGGCTGAATGGCTTTCTTCTGTTCTGTAAACTGTCTATAATTCTTCAGCTTTCTGTCTTTCACTTCCTGTCCTCTCTATTTCTTTTACTCTATTTTTATGCTTACTTTGACAACAACAAGGTCTGGAGTGAGGCGAGGCCAGAGTGTGAGGGAATTTGGGGAGTGGAAATTAGGTGCAGAGGGGGAAGTAGGTGCAGGTTATATATCTTAGGGGAAGTAAGAGGAGATAGATAATGGCCTGGCATGTGATGTCCGAGGAATGTGGTATGTGGGAGTTGATAGAGGGCAACCTGAGCCCAGATGACTTCATCTGCAGCAAGTGTCTGCAACTGAGCAAGCTCCAACTTAGAATAGCTGAGCTGGAGTCTTAGGTGCAGACACTGCGCTCCATCAGGAACAGTGAGAGGTTCCTGGACAGCATGGTGGAGGAGACCCTCACTCCCCTAGGACTCACTTATAGCAGCCCATCATTGTATAGGAGCCATGAGAGAGGGGTACTGGAGCTATCGGGAGGTCAGAGTTCAAGAAAAGGACCACTCCCAGAAGAGCCCAATACACAGCCATCCTTTATTCATGTTAAAAGTGATTGGGTGACAGTGCGACGGGGCAAGAAGAGGGCTTGTTCAAAGCAGTACCAGTCTCTAATCGGTACTCAATATTAGCTATCGAGCCTCTCGTGAGGACAGCAGTGGACATTCTGTCCAACAGGACAAGGGCATGGTTCACAAGGGCAATACAGTTGTGATAGGGGATTCAACAGTAAGAGGCACTGACAGGATCTTCTGCAATCAGAATCGTGAGGCTAGGATGGTTTGCTGCCTTCCTGGTGCAAGGTAGTGGACTTCACAGAGCGCATGGACAAGATTCTTCGGGGGGAAGGAGAATGTTTAAAAGTCGTGGTCCATGTGGGGACCCACGATATTGGTAAGAAGAGGGCTGAGATGCTCCAGGGCGAGTATCAAATGCTGGGGAGCAAACTCAAGTCCAGAACATCCAAGGTGGTGATCTCTGGGTTACTCCCGGTACCTCGGATAACAAGGCACAATAATGAAAAGATCAGGCGCATGAACAATTGGCTGGAGAAATGGTCTGGAAAAGAAATTTTCTGGACAATTGGGACCACTACGGGGGACGTGGGATCTTTACCTTAAGGATAGGCGGCACTTAAGCAAGGCAGGGGTGAGCTTCCTCGCCAAGAGATTATCAAATGCTGTAGGGGCGGATTTAAACAAGTGTCGAGGGGGGATGGGTATCCAAGAGGATGGGTATCCAAGGATAAACAATGGATTAGAGATTAGAGGAAAAAGACAAGTGGGAAGTGTAGAGCAGGTACAAGCGGACAATTTCCTCAAATGCATCTACCTAAATGCATGTAGCTTAGGGAATAAGGTTGATGAGCTGCAGGTTCAACTGGCCGTAGGGGGTTACGATGTGGTGGCAGTAACCGAGACATGGCTCAAGCCAGGACAGGAATGGGAGTTAAATATTCCAGGATATAATGTGTTCAGGAAGGATAGAGAAGGAAGAAAAGGTGGAGGGGTGGAAATATTAGTTAAGGATACAATTATAGCTGTAGAAAGGAACGAGGCTCTGGAGGACCCCACAACAGAATCCATCTGGTTAGAGATAAGAAATAAGAAAGGAGTGGTTACACTGATAGGGGTTTACTATAGACCACCAGACAGCGGGAAGGAGATAGAGGAGCAGATCTGCAACCAGATCGCGGATAGATGTAAGGCGAACAGAGTTGTGATAATGGGGGATTTCAATTATCCCAATATAGACTGGCAAAATACCAGTGCTAAGGGCAAGGCAGGAGAAAGATTCATAGACTGTGTACAGGAACATTTTCTTGAGCAGTATGTCTCCAGTCCTACGAGGAAGGAAGCTTTACTGGATCTAGTCCTGGGGAATGAAATAGGTCAGGTTGAACAGGTTTCGGTAGGGGAGCATCTAGGTAACAGTGACCATAATATTATTAGATTCAGATTACTCATGAACAGGGACAAAGTACAGTCAAGGGTGAAAATCCTTGACTGGAAAAGGGCTAATTTTGATGGGCTAAAGAGGGACTTAGAGTTGGTTGACTGGCAAGTAAGACTAGCAGGTAAAATGACTCATGAGCAACGGGGGATCTTCAAAGATATGATAGCGCAAGGTCTAAATAGATATATTCCCACAAAAGGGAAATGTGTGACAACCAAGCCAGCCTGGATGACCAGGGATATTCTGTCTAGGATGAAAAAGAAGAAGACGGCGTACGACAATTGGAAGACGCAAGATACTGAGGATAGCAAAGCGCATTATAGAGAATGCAGGAGTGATCTTAAAAGAGTGATAAGACAGGCTAAAAGATCGCATGAGAAGAGGTTAGCGG